GGACGACCACCACAGGAGCTGTTCCATCTCTTGGATCTGTGCGACGGCCCTTCCATGTCGCTCGACATTATCCATCAATCCTTCATCACCATCCTTGTCACCCGCAAGGGTCACCGCAGACCTTCGTTGTCTCAACAGGCTGGCCCGTGCCAATCAGCCACATGCCCTTGTGCGGTGGCGACCGTTCACCCAACCTGCGACCAAGCCGCGACGGCCTTCGTCGCACCCAAACCACCAGGGGTGTTCTCCCGCCCTCTCTGATGGCCCCCATCCATCGCGATAGGCGGCGCGCGCGTGTTTACCGCCTTCGCGTCCCCCCCTCCGATAAGTCACCATTCGTTAGGTAAACCACTAAAACGGGTGCCACGTCAGCGATCTCGCCTGGTTTCCGTTGTGCAGCGAGCCAAATGGCCACATGGGCAGGCCAGCGATGGATCCCCCTCCTCCATCCACACCGGCCATTCAAATCACCCCATCAGTTTCTCACTTGACACTTCAAGTGTACTTCTACACATTCCATCAGGGCATCCATCACTATATCGCGTATAGCGCCAGCCCTGCCCTTCCCTCTGAGGGGAGCCCACAACCACAACACCTCCCAGCCTTTTCTCCTCAACAACTCCTCTCATACCTCACTTGCCTGGGAAGCTCGCCTTGCTGGTCAGAGAGACACCAAAGAGACCAACCATGGCGCACACTACTGCTCTTCAGGTCTGCATTGCGCCTTGCTTTCGGCATGATTCTCGCCTGCTAAAATAACTTCGCGTATTCTTCTTTTGTGAATGCTTGACGTTTCGAGTGTTTTTTTTTTAACCTTTGCTTTTGGTTATCGTTGACATAATTCAGCAGCATCCGTTGTTTGGGGATCGATAGTGACGTCATTACCTTCTTGTGGTTTGTTGCATTGCAGGCTTCGTTCCAGACGCCCGTCGCTTCGCTGTCTGGAGCGAGTTCCACAAAGGTCGGTAGTCATTGTTGTGTTTTTTAGTTTTTTTTGTTGTACCTTTAATAATCTACGTGAATGGTTATTTTTTATCCGCATTGAGCGTGACAACCAGTATTAAGTAGAGTACCGCAATGTTGTCCCCCCACCTCTTTTCTCCCTTCCCCTTTCCCCCCTCCCCTCGTCACATAAACCCCTGAACGCAGGTCGCGGCATCTTCGCCACGAGTCTTCTTCCATGGAACCCAGCTCCACGTGAAGCAGACCGCCGTTCGCCGCTCCGCGGCCGCCAGCGTGGCAGTGCGCGCGGAGAAGGTCCTCTTCCCCAAGGAGCTGGAGGAGCCGGAATCCCCCCCGCTGAACACGTACAAGAACAAGGAGCCGTTCATCGGCACCGTGGTGTCCGTCGAGCGGATCGTGGGCCCCAATGCCACCGGCGAGACGTGCCACATCGTCATCGACCACGAGGGCAAGATGCCGTACTGGGAAGGCCAGAGCTACGGCATCATCCCTCCCGTGAGTTTCCGCCTTGAAAACCCTTCGCTTCGGCCGCGGTAGTCGCAGTCGCGGTCGTCGCGGTCGGCGTTGCAGTTGCGACTATGGTGCTGAGCATGCATTTGCCTTGGAAACTGCTTTTGAGATTCGCTCGGCGGTCGTTCTTCGGCACGTGGTTCCCATCCAACTGTCAAAGCATACTTGATTGATCGCTAAGGAGAGAAGTTTGTTAGCGTCGCTAAGTTTGAGATGTGTATGGCTACTAATTCTTCGGGCTTTTTAACAATCTAAGACGATTCTTCCGATCTGTAATTGAAAAGCGTGCGTTCGTTTTATCATCCTTTTCCGTCTTTCCCCTTCGTCTCGTTTTGTCGCGTCCTGTCCGGCATGTTTTCCTGTCCCACTTAAACCCTCCACTCCACTCCTCTCGTCTCCTCTCCCCTCTGCAGGGCGACAACCCCAAGAAGCCCGGCACGCCCAACACGGTGCGCCTCTACTCCATCGCGTCGACGCGCTACGGTGACGACTTCGACGGGCGCACGGGGTCGCTGTGCGTGCGGCGCGCCGTGTACGTGGACCCGGAGACGGGCAAGGAGGACCCCGCCAAGAAGGGTATCTGCTCCAACTTCCTCTGCGACGCCAAGCCCGGGGACAAGCTCACCATGGTTGGTACGTTCCGAGCTCGCTGCCCTCTCTCTGACATTTTGTTGTTGTTTGTTCTGCTCCGTTACTTGGATTTTTTTTTTTTTTTTTTTTTTTTTTGCTGGCGCGTGCTCCCGAACTCGCGCGTTGCTGTCTGTTAGTTGGTACCTAGATGTCGTCGCGATCCTCCGTTGGACCTACCGCCTTCCTTCTCATTCTTTTTATCGAGTGTGCAATGGTTGTCACCATCACTTGCACTGCCGGCTGCCCCCTCTCTTCCTCCCTCTGCTCCCTTAACCGCATCTCTTTCCACACTAACGTTCCCCTGGCATTCCTCCGTTTCCTCGTCTCTCTCTGCCCCTCTTTCCCCCTCCCCTCCCCTTTTCTTCCCCTCCCTTCCCTTCCCCCCCTGCCCCCTTTTTGTTTCGGCCCCGTTATGGCAGGTCCCACCGGAAAGGTGATGCTGCTGCCGGAGAAGGACCCCAAGGCGACGCACATCATGGTGGCCACGGGCACGGGTATCGCGCCGTACCGCGGGTACCTGCGCCGCATGTTCATGGAGGACGTGCCGTTCAAGTTCAGCGGGCTCGCGTGGCTGTTCCTGGGCGTGGCCAACACGGACAGCCTGCTGTACGACGACGAGTGGAAGGAGTACCTGCGCCTCTTCCCCGACAACTTCAGGTGGGCGCTCGCCAAGGGAGGGGCTAGAGGTGGAAAAAGGGGGAGGGTTGTGGGAGGGGGTAGAGGGAGGGTTAGAAGGGGCTGAAGAAAGGGAGTGGAGGGAGGGGGGTAGAGGCGCGAGGGAGGGAAACTGTGAAATGAGAGTGGGATGGCTTTTGCTCGCATGAGTTGATGGGTCATGAGTCGAAGGTGCGTAGGTGTGGAAAGGTGTGGCTGGCTGGTGAAGGGCCTTGCGGAAGGTTGGGAGAATTCGAAGTGGAAAGGGGTCTAAGTACCGTGGCGGACAATGCATGCAAAACACAATACCAACTGCCTGCTCACCTTACTAGCACTGTGATTCACACTGGGAAGTTATCATGTAATGTGGTGTTTGCTTGCGTTCCTAGATAGTGGTATCTGCATGATGAATGTGTTGCATTTCCTTTTGTTCTGACTCTTACCTTGGTGTCCCTCCCCCTTTGTGCAGGTACGACGTGGCTCTGAGCCGTGAGTCGAAGAACAAGAACGGAGGCAAGATGTACATCCAGGACAAGCTGGAGGAGTATGGTGAGGAGATCTTTGACCTGCTGGACAAGGGTGCGCACATCTACTTCTGCGGGCTCAAGGGCATGATGCCCGGCATTGTGGACACGCTTAAGAGGGTGGCCGCCTCAAGAGGGCTAGACTATGAGGAGTTCTCTGGCAAGCTCAAGAAGAACCATCAGTGGCACGTGGAGGTGTACTAAATGCTGTAGGGGTTGTGCACGTGTTCATGTGTTTGTGAGTTGGCGCTTGAGCACCTGGATTATTTGTCGTGGAACCTGGATTATCTATCGTGGTTCTCTCATTTTTGCCTTGCATTGATGGGTATGGAACGGAATGTAAAAGCAACGCCATTTGGTAAACATTATTCCATTTGCATATTTGATTAGGGCGGGTCCAAGAATGTACGTATTCGCAGAAAACCCTACCCAACCATTTTAGTCTTTTAATAAGACCGCTCATTATCAGATCCAAACCTTTTTCAACCGGATTAGGACGGGTGTCAGATTGCCAAAGAGACTGCACTGTACCGTCCTGAAATTGCAGTGTTCGTACAACCGCAGTGTCCTTCTGGAATGTCCCAAGATTCCCTCGGCACAGTCACATCCCAACAGGCACGCCACAACCGCACATCCATCCGCATTCCCAGGAAACCGCGCAAACCCCTGTGTGGCAAGCAACCTCCGACAACGGAACCAACCAAGCCAACACCCGAGGGTTTCTGCGGAAGCGCTAGTGGGTTCCTCTCATCACAATTCACCTCACGAGTGAAACCCTCCTCCTTTCCAAGGCTCCTCCTAGTCTCTTTTGTTTGCTATCCCTCCCTCCCCCTCGTATCAGCACCATTTTTCATCACAACCCTAGCTCCAGGCTTGTTTGCTTCGAAGGACAATTCAACAGCTCCACCCACCTAGTGTGAACGAAAAGTGCAGTTCCCGTCTGGTTTCGTTGATGTTCTTGGGTGGATCTACGTTTTGAGCGAGCTAATTGCTGATTGACGATCCAGGATGACATGATCTGGATCTAACTAACCTGAAAAGGTTCAAGTAAAGGAGTCTCGCAAACTGTGCTTACGCCTTTGAGGGAAGATTGAACAAACATGTCGAATCCAATGGTCTCGTCCGCATCGCAAGCGTTTCATAATCCGCCAACGCTCACTGATCCGAATTATGCACAACCCCCTCCTGCCAAGCGTGTTAGAGTGAGGCGCGTAACTTGGGCATCAGATGATCGACTCCGAGAGGTTTGTCTTCGTCCTGGCGTTGTTTTGGGTATTTTATGCAAGTTATTTGTCTATGCTATCCTAGCCTTTTTATCTCAGATCTCGTAACAATAGCGATTCACTAAACTAAATCTGCATCAGTTGCTAAATAGGCTCGTCTTGCCGTTTGTGCTAAACTTTTTGTGTCCCCTCGTCCGTTTCTTGCTTCCACGGAAAACAACCTAAGCATGCTTGTTACAGATAATTTGTTCTGATCGCCTAGATTTACTACAATAATGTCTCGTCGGGCACTGATGCATCCGCCGTTTGCCGTCACTTTCAATCATTATGCGTAGTATATAACAACTTCCAAATACCTTTCAGATACCAATTTTCTTCGAGTTCTCGTAGTTCATCAAGTTACCGGATATTAAGTTGTGTGCTCGGAACCAGATCTGTCCGTGTTTCGCAGCGTTGTAGCAAGCAAGTTATTGTTTCTCCGCGCTCTCTTGACCAGGTCCGGTTATTCAACACAGAAGATGCCCCGTGCATGGCCATATCCACAGGCCTTGGGGGTGCCCCCCCAGCTCCATCCACTAGTTTCCGATCTTCCATGGACGGCCCTCCGGGTTTTAGCCGACCTAAGAAAGTCCGGTGCGACTCCGCGGCAGTGGCGGCGATGGTGACCCAAACTCCCTGGAAGTCTCCTGAAAAAGTAGGGTCTGATTCCCTTGACCCATGTTATCATACGCCGTTGTGTGTGCTGGTGTGCTGGTGATCCTGATTGGCCCCGACTCTTCCCTGGGCGGGTAGAATCTGAAGTGGTATGGCCTCGTTCGCGTCACCGCGCGGCGGATTGGGGAAAGAAGAGAAGGGGGGAGGGGAGGGGAAGGAGGGTGCGGAAGGGGGGTGTGAGATAACTGAGGAAAGGGACTTAAGTGAGGGATTCAGTGGGAGAAGGAGGGAAGAACGAGGGGTTGGTTGGAGAGGGAGGAGATCAGAGATAGAGGAAGAGTGGAATAAGGGAAGCGGTGGGGGAAGGACTGGGAAGTTATTTTCGTGTTTACGGTTCTTAACATCCTTGATTGTTGTAGCCACTGCAAGAAAGCGTTGTGAGAATTGGAGAGGGATAACCACCTTATCTGAGGGCTTCTGAGGATCGGAATGAAGGGTTTTAAGCGCTGCAAGCTCACACCCTTCTGGGAAGGTGGTGGACCCTTGGGCGTGCGTGCATGAGAGGCCCTGGATGCGAACTGGCAGTTGAAGCCCGAGCAGTGCACAGGGAGGCACTTTACACCACTGCAATTGCCTGGATTGGAGTGGGCTTGAAGGCACGCATGTATCCCACTTTGAAGGGCTCATTGGGGCTCCTACGGCTCTGAGGGGGATTCTAGGGCTCCGAGGGGGCTCCTACGCGGCATCTAGGGCTCCTAGGGCTCCCTAAAGTCGGTGCAAGGGAGAAGCTGTGGTGTTCTGTAAAGCAGTGACCTTTCACACTAGCACCTTCATCACATGACTTGCTCTGCTGTTTCGTGCTGCTTCGTGCTGCAAGTTGGTGCAAGCTGGTGCGGGTCGGAGGATGGGAAAGAAGGAGAGCGCGAGCGGGATTAAGCAACGCATGTCCTTTCCTTCCATGCTGTGGTGCTGGCTGTGAGTTCATGCAGGTGGAACTGGAGGCAGAGTGGCAGGTGGTGGCGGGGGAGGACAGTGCGCAGGTGGAGGTGCAGAAGCAGAGGGAGATGCGCTCCTTTGAGGCCTTCTATCCGAGGCCCTCAGCCATTCCTGACTCGTACGCACAGCGCTTTATGTCTTCAGCTTGCTTCTGGGATCACTCTGTCTTCCGCTTCCCCCTCCTTCCGCTCATGCTAACCCTCCTCCTTGTTCTCTGTTTCGTTTCCCCAGCTCTCCATTTCTTGTCCCATCCGTTCCTCTTCCTCCCCTTCCCGCCTCCCTCCTCCCCATCCCCATGCTGTCTCGGCCTTCTACTCTCCCGCCCTTCTCTCATCCCACCCCCTCTCCCTCTCCCTCCCCTTCCCGCCGCCTCTCTCGCCGTCCCAGGCCGGCAGAGCCACAGGATCCGTTGGAGGCGGTGCAGGACGACAGTCGCATCCCCGTCATCCCGCTCGTCTCTCTGGACGACGACGCTGCTGATGAACCCGACGCCTCCGCCTCCCCCGCTCCTCCGCCCGACTCCGCCGCAGCAGCCGCAACAGGGGAAGCCACAGCAGGCGCAGGAGCAGCAGCGGGGGGAGGAGCCGTGGGAGGCGGAGGGGAGCAAATGGCAGGAGCGGTACCTGGGCAAGGTCCTGGGGCGGGGTATCCCAGGAGACCGGATATGATGACAGCAGGCCCACACGCGCCAGCGGCAGTACCTCTGGCAGGTCTGGGAGCAGGAGCGATGCCGAGCCCAACTGCCATGCACCCTGGAAGGCCCCCCATGCATGGCCCCCCCATGCACGGCCCACCTATGCACGGCCCGCCTATGCATGGGCCGCCGCCTATGCATGGCCCGCCCATGCCTCACCATGCTGGCGGCATGGGGTGGAGGGGACCTCCTCCGGGCATGCAGCATGAGGGCCCCATGGGCCATGCCATGGGGCCTCCTCCCTGGAACGGGCCTAGAGGGGGTGATGGCGGCGGTGGTGGCGGCGGCGGCGGCAGAGGCATGGAGAGTGCGCGCAACGGCATGGGGAATGCTGGGTTTGCAGGTTCGCCTGGGGCTGGGGGAGGGAGGGTGATCAAAGGAGAAATGGGAGGTGAATCGGGTGTGTCTGCACGGGGTCTGGGGAGTGGTGGGAGCCGTGAGGGACAAACAGGAGGAGGAGGAAGAGGTGGGGGACGGGGCGGGGTCGGGGGAGGAGGAGAAGGAGGAGAAAGAGGAGGAGGGGGGAGAGGAGGAGGAGCGGGGGTTCCAGCGGCCGAGATTGCAGCGGCAGCAGCAGCAGCTGTGGCATCTCTGTCGGATTCGGGGACAGTGGATGAGGAGCTATTGGCAAAGACCATTGCGGCGCTCACAGCGTCACAGAGTGCAGCGGGAGTGGGCGCTGCAGCAGCTCGGAACGGCCCAGAGCAGGGAGGAGCAGCAGCGGCAGCAGTAGCGGCGGCGGCAGCGGCGGCAGCAGCAGCAGCAGGAGGAGGCGCAGGAGGGCCAGGCGCACGGGTTTCAGTGCAAGGGAGCTCGAAAGAAACCGCAGGGCCGTTTCCGCCGCCTCCCACGGACAGCATGGGCATGGGCCGGGGAATGGACAATTTCTCTCCGCGCGACAACGCTTTTGGTCATCCGGGCTCCATGCCTAGAGAAAACGGGTTCAGCCCCGGTCCCGGTTCTGGCGGTGGTACTGGTGGTGCTGGTATGGGAGAAGCCGGCCCTCCTATGCGACCCCCAGGGCCGCATTCCGGACCCCCTCGCGGGTTTCCTCCCCACGGAGGCCCTCCTCCTGGTCCCGGCGGCCCCCCTCCCCGGCCCGGCGGTCCTGCAGGCCCCCCTGGACCCATGCCCATGGGTGGCGCAGGTGGACCCATGGGCGCTGCAGCAGGTGGAGCAGGAGGGGGAGGAGGAGCAGGAGCGGGAGTAGGAGTGGAAGGAGGAGGAGGAGGAGGAGGAGGAGGGGGGGCGCCTATGGGGCAGGTTGGTCCCATGGGACCTGGGGGTCTTCGTGGGGGGCCTGGGAGACCCTTTGGTCCGGGCGGACCAGGTGGCATGGGCGGAAGACCTTCAGGGCCAGGGGGGCCGCCCTTCCGACCGCCTTTCCCACCCAACGGGTCCGGCCCAGGGCCATTCCCCATGGGCCCCCCTGGACCCGCCGGCATGCCCCCCGGCCCTCCCCCATTCCTCGGACCCGGGGGCCCAGGGGGACCAGGGGGACCGGGGGGACCGGGGGGACCAGGGGGTCCGGGGGGATTCAGAGGACGAGGGGGAAGGGGTCCGCCAGGGCCGAGGGGAATGGGGTTTATGGGTGGGCCCAGGGGTCGGCCGGATGGGCCGCCGCCGCCCTTCCATGGCGGACCTCCTCTGCCTCCTCCTCCCCGCGGGCCTATGAACGGGCCACCCACGCCCTTTGGCGCGGACGAAGGCCCGTTTCCCCCGTTCAGCGAGCCTGGTAAGGGTCCTATGCCCCGCCACATGCCCCCCCGCATGGGGCCTGGTCCTGGCCCGAATGCTGGCCCAAACTTCGGCCCTAACATGCCCCCCGAATTTGGTGGCAACATCGGCCCAGGTGGTGGCGGCAACATGGGTCCAGGTGGCAACATGGGTCCAGGTGGCAACATGGGTCCAGGTGGCAACATGGGTTCTGGGCCGGGCATGAGTCCAGGGCATGGCATGGGGCCTGGTGGGGCTAAATTCGGACCTGGTGGGCCGGGGGGCCCTCCCGCTGCTGCCCACATGCGCCCTTCCCCATCCGATCCGCTCAGTGCTGCGGATAGCCCTTCCCATGGGGCCATGCGCGGACCCCATGGGGCGTGGCAAGGCAGGGACGGCGGTGGTGGTAGAGCGGGAGGGGTGGGTGAGGGGAACGACGGAGAGGGGGGTGATAGGGGAGGAGGAGGAGCAGGCGGAGCGGGGAGCAGCAGCAGGGATGGGTCAGCAAGGGATGCTGTTGGGCGTGGCGGTGATGTTGAGGCGGATGGGCGGATGGAAAGATTCGAGCGAGGAGCTAGTCTGGACAAGGAGAAAGGCGACGCAGGAGGTACAGCAGATGCAGGAGCAGCAGGAGCAGGATCGGGCATGTATAGGTCAGGGGTGAAACCGTCTCTCCAGTGGGTGACCAAGGTTGAAAAGGTGCCTCTTGGGGCGCCCATGGGCGCGGGTAAAGAACCGGGAGCAGCAGCAGGCGCAGCCGAAGGGCTCTTGCAGCAAGGGCCAGGGGGAATGCAAGGCTCGTCAGCAGCAGTGGCAGGCGCAGCAGGGACAGCAGGGGCAGCAGGGCAAGGGGGGGGAATCCAGGGACCACAGAGTCACATGTCTGCCATCACACCATCCAATGGCCCATCCAGTGGCCCTCCAAATGGCGCTTCAAATAGGCCAGCCAGCGGCGCTCCCACCGGCCCCGCCATTAATTCCGTCCCTGGTGCTGCGGATGGGCCTGCTGCTTCCCCTGGCGCCACCTCCTCTCTCTCTGGGAACGGCCCCATTCCGCCTCAAGGAGCCCTGGGGCCCCCCAATGGCCCTCCAGGCCCCCCTGGGCTCCAGGGCTGGGCGGGTGGGGCACCGTTTAATGGCATGGGGGGCCCTGTTCCCCCGCCTTTCCATGGGGGGAGGGGGGGAGGGGGAATGGGAGGGGGCGGAATGGGCGGAGGGGGAATGGGAGGGAGAGGGATGGGAGGAGGGGCCATGGGAGGAGGGGGCATGGGCGGAGGGGGCATGGGCGGAGGGGGCATGGGCGGAGGGGGAATGGGCGGAGGGGGAATGGGCGGAGGGGGCATGGGCGGAGGGGGCATGGGCGGAGGGGGAATGGGCGGAGGGGGCATGGGCGGAGGGGGCATGGGCGGGGGGACCATGGGCGGAGGGGGAATGAGCGGAGGGGGCATGGGCGGAGGGGGCATGGGCGGAGGGGGAATGGGCGGAGGGGGCATGGGTGGTGAGGGCATGGCCGGAAACGGCATGGGCGGAGGGGGCATGGGCGGAGGGGGCATGGGCGGAGGGGGCATGGGCGGAGGGGGCATGGGCGGAGGGGGCATGGGCGGAGGGGGCATGGGCGGAGGGGGAGTGGGCGGAGGGGGAATGGGCGGAGGGGGCATGGGCGGAGGGGGCATGGGCGGAGGGGGCATGAGCGGCCCATTCCCCCGGGGACCCCCTGGCGGGCCAGGCTTTGGGGATGGGCCCTCGGGACCCCCGTATGGGGAGTTTGACAAGCAGGGGGGCGGAGGAGGGTGGGGAAGGGGAGGCCCAGCGGGAGGGGGAGGGAGGGGGCGGAGGCGGTGTCTGTACTTCAACACACCGTCAGGGTGCAGGAATGGCCCCCGCTGCACCTTCCTGCATGAAGGCCCGGGACCCGAGGGATTCGTGGGTGGCGGTAGAGGCGGGGGAGGCGACTGGGGTGGCGGGGAATGGGGTGGTGGAGAGTGGGGGGGAGGTGAATGGGGAGGCGGTGGGGGAGGCGGGATGATGGGGGGAGGTGGGGGTGGTCGTGGCGGGGGGATGATGGGGCCGGGGGGGAGAGGAGGGAGGATGGGGGGTGGAGGGCGAGGGGGGATGATGGGTAGAGGTGGGGGAAGGGGCGGGCGGATGGATGAGAATGGGGGGGACATTGGCATGGGTGGGGGGGATGAGGGAGGCATGGGGGGAAATATGGGGGGAACTGGAGGGCCTGGGGGTATGGTTGGGGGAAGTATGGGTGGGGGAAATCTGGGTGGAGCAGGGGGTATGGGCAGAGGCGGGAGCATGGGAGGAGGGGGCAATATGGGAGGAGGGAATATGGGAGGGGGCAATATGGGAGGGGGCAATATGGGAGGAGGGAATATGGGAGGAGGGAATATGGGCGGAGGGGGAAGCATGGGCGGAGGGGGAAGCATGGGCGGAGGGGGAAGCATGGGCGGAGGGGGAAATATGGGCGGAGGGGGAAATATGGGCGGAGGGGGGAGCATGGGCGGAGGTGGGAGCATGGGTGGAGGAGGAAACATGGGCGGAGGGGGGAGCATGGGCGGAGGGGGAAATATGGGTGGAGGAGGGTTCATGGGAGGGGGGGACTTTGGAGGAGGTATGGGTGGAGAATGGAATGAGGGGAATTGGGAGGGCGAGAACTGGGGAAATGCTGCTGCCATGGGTGGTAGGGAAGGCGGTAGGGCGATGATGGGCGGGGGCATGGCAGCAGGGCAGGGGGGTGCAGGCAGTGGCAGCAGAGACAGCATGGTGGGCAGTGGTGGTGGTGGTGCTGCTGCTGCTGCTGGTGCTGTGGATGGTGGGGGTGGTGGAGGAAGAGGAGGAGGGCGAGGAGGGGGAGCGGGGCGGGGAGGGGACTTGAGCTATAACTGATGCTGCTGCGGGAGGAGCATTGTGTGTGCGCGCTTCAAGGTACGGCCTTGTGCCTGCTCGCTGCGGCCATGTCTGTGCTCCATGTGCATGCACGCGCACATGCACATGAGCATGCCCACATGTCACTGCATTCTTCTCACTGCTCTATCCACACCTCACTGCAGTGGGTCACTGTGGGCACCTGTGCTGCCACCATCGCTCTCAACATGCATGCTTCCAGCATCCCACGCGCTCCCTTACATGCAACCTGCACTGCACCATGCATGGTAGCGCGCCAGTGCTTCTGTCAATCCGCCTGGCATGGAAGGTGAAGGGTATGGGTAGGGGAAGGGGGTGTGGGAGGGGAGCGGGGTGGGGGAGTGGGAGGGCGAGGTGGAGGGGGGGTTGAGGGGGAGTGGGATGGTGTATGATACCGATGATCATTTGCTTTGGTTGCTGGAGCCCGATGACTGCGCGCACCCACTCACTGCTAGATTCCCTGCTCACGCCCGTTGCTCTCATGCATGCATGTCAGCCAGCTCACATCTGCACCCCAAGCGCAGCTAAAGCAAGCTGGTTGCATGGTGCAGTGAACTCAGAGCGACAGCAGTCTGTCTGCTTGTACCCACCACAATCTTCACAACCTCCACTCCCCCGTTTTCTTCCTTGCTTTGCCTCTGCCCGACTTTCAGAATGCGTGTTCAGAAGCCGGCAGTGAAGAGCGAGACAAGAACCAATGTGTGGGGGACATAGGGTATGGCGGTGCTGCCGGCACTCGCACACCTCGAGGAGCTTTTCGTTTGCCAGCATGCAATCATCCGAGGAGGACCGTAGGCAGCAGCAATACGTGCACTGGAGGTGTCGTGTTGTGCACTGCTGCGTGTCTGTGTCGTGCCGCGCACCATCTACAGTACCATTCCGCCATGTTTGCCCACAGCAAATGCAGAAAGGCCTGGACTGGATGGATGGATGGATGCATGTGGGCACGGGGCTGCCTTGCTGTGGTGTCAAAGCCCCTTGCATGCTTGTTGTGAGCCATCCAGGCTCTGCTCATCTGCCTGCCGGTGCCTCATGGCAACCTGCCAGGCAGCCTTGCGTGCAGAGCAGCAGAGCTTGCTGGAGCCAGGCGGCTTGGCGGGCGTCTGAGCTGAGCATACAGCAGGGTAGTGTATGCTGTGCTGTTCCGTGCCGTGCCCTGCGAAATTGCACGAGAAAGTGCTGTGCTGCATGATCCCATGCGGAACGTGACTTCCCCTCAGCACGGCGTTGCAACCGGTAGGGCGAGGAGCACGGCATCTTGTGTTGATCAGTTGGGTAACGGTGTTTTGAGTTGAGCGTACCAGTGCCCCTCACCAGTTCGTCAGCGATTGAGAAACCAGGGTGGATGGAAAAAGGTGGTGTTGTGATAGACATGGAGGGCTGCAATTTGCCCACATGAGGCAGCGTTTGGTTGATTGTGTGTTCTTGCTCTGGGCCTTCCCTACACCCTATGGGCGGTGCTGGGGCGTTAATTGAGAAGGATAGGACGGTACCAATATCTGCTAGCACGGTGTTGTGTCCACTATGGATTGATTGTTTCTTGTGCTCATGCTGGGATACGTCAAAGGCATTGTGTGATCAGATCATGTACTTAGGTACAATTTGCACTTACGGTAGCGTACAATAATCTGGCAACAATTAAAACGAGGGTCTGCCTATGAGGCGAGTAATACGGCTTGCATTGCACTGCACCACCCACATGGACAAAATTAACAGATGCACCCCTAAACAGGTTAACATCCCTCAATCGCATATTGTACGCTTCTACTGTGCTCTTATGCTACCCCCTTCCTTGAAACACAACAGTCCACCTATCTTGAACATCCCCCCAAGCTGCCTGACACAGCTCCAGCAGCCCCCCTGCATGCGTCGCTGCCCCCTCCAACCCCCATTCCACCGCAGCACACGTGGCACCTTGCCCTGCAGCCTCTGCAGCAGCCACAGCACAGCCCAGCGCCACGAGGAACACAGTGAGGTTGAGCAGCAGCCCATGCAGCACATCCGTCACCATGCCAGCACGCGCCATCCAATACCCCGTGCGCTCCATCATGCCCATCATCTCACTCAACGGGCTCGCTCCTGCTGCTCCTGCCCCCCCACCCTCCCCCTCGCTTTGCCTTGCCGCCGCACTCAAGCCCTGCAGCAGCCCTGCGAGGCCTGCAGGGCTGGCAGCGGCATGTCTCGGAGAGATGAACGTGTGGAGCAGCAAGGAGGAGGCGATGAGAGCAGCGTCCGTGGCAAGCACAGTGAGACACGGGTGCGCGGGCAGGAAGAAGAGGAGCGACAGCAGCCCGGGGGGAGAGGAAAGAGAAGCTTCATTCAATCCCGCTGCTGTTGCTGCCAGCCCCTCTGGTGCCTCGGTTCCTGCTCCAGCAGATGCTGTGAGGCCACGCAGCCAGTGTGTGAGGTGCGGGCAGTGCAGTGGAAGCATGCGCAGGCAGTAGAGCAGCGCCAGTAGCAGCGCTACAGCGAGACGCACTGGCGTGGTGGCCTGTGCGGCGAGCACGAGTTGCTGCATGGAGAGCAGCAGGCGCATTGTGGAGCGCTTCTGTACTCGTGGTGCCTCCTGGAATGCCCCAAACGCGCCTCCTGCCCCGGCATACCTGGGACCTAGCAGGGAGGCGTTCATGCCCTCGTGCTGCTGCTGCTGCTGCTGCTGCTGCTGCTGCTGCTGCTGGGCGAGTGCGGCGGAGAGGAAGGGCAGATGTTGGAATGAAGGAGCGCTGGGTGCCAAGGGATCGAACGGGAAGGGCGGGGCGGTGGAAGGATGGTCCGGTGGAGAGACGGGTACAGAAGGTGCGGGTGCTGCTTGCTCTGCCATGGTACCCACAGCAGCAGCCTGAGTGAGCGTGCAGGATGGTGCGGCAGAGGACGGTGTAGAGCCCGGCTGTGGCTGTGCGGGCGGGGTGGGCACGGCAGGACCTGGCAGGGGTGGCGATGCTGGGGGGTTGTCTTGCGGAGGGGATGCGCTGGGAGAAGCGGGCGGTCCTGCAGGCGGTGCTGGGTGCATGGTTGTTGGCGCTACTGTGTCCTGGGCATCAGTGGGCGCTGTGGACGCACGTGGGCACGAGAGAAACGCCACGTGGGAGAGAGACAGAGGGAGAGGGGAGAAGAGGGAGGGTGGTGAGAGTGAGATGTGGTAACGGTGACGTGCAGAACCGTAGGCAAGGGGAAAAGAGAGAGAGGAACCGAATTGGAGTGCGTGGGGCTTGCGGGGACAGGGTGAGATGATTAAGATGGGTAGCTGTACGCGAGCGCTAGGACTGTGAGTGTACGCGAGCGCTGGGACTCTGAGTATACGCGTGGTTTAAACTGTGCGTTACAGGACGCGGAAGGGATCGACGAAAGGGGCGATAGACAGAGACAGGGTGGACGAAAGGGACAGATGGGGAGTTGGTAGAGAAATCGGGCAAGGGAAGGAGAGGAGTAGGGGGAAGAGTGGGGGGAGAGTTGGAGAGGCGGGGAGAGGGAAGGGTTGGGGGGAGAGATGAGGGGAGCGAGGGTAGAGGGGGTGGGGCATCGGGGTTTGAGAAGAAGACGAATCCAGCGCGAAGAGCATAAAAGCCTCTAGAGAATATGCGACGGAAATATGTGGGCGCGAGGTACACGAGAGACGGATCAAGCATTCACGGATCAAGATAGTTTCAGGTCGGGATCTCACCACTGGGCTGTTGTGGTTGCGATTGCATGGCGGTCGCATCGCCCGTGATAAATCGCAGCCGCTCGTTGCCCTGGTTCAAGATCCGCCGTCGACGAGCTTCCCGGCGAGCAGCTGCGTCGGCCATCGCGATGGCTACGAGGAGGCGATAGGTTGAGAGGTATGCGAGTGATTCAGGTTTTCTGACAGATGCAAGGAATTGCGAATATGAGACCAGAAGCGCAGCACATAACGACACACACACCAAAGGGCATGTTGAAATTAGGGAAAATATGCCATAAGTAGCCAACTTGGGACTCTATAACGTAAGTGGTAAAAACAAAAACGCGTACGGTCAATGTATCGGGTTTCCTGACGGGTTTGGTAAGTGGGGTCACGGATTCAGTCACTAACAACAGGTAAAAAATCACGCGAATGATCACACATGTAACTCCCGCCAAAAAAACTTGAAACTCAACAAAATTCCCGCTCGCGTCCAACCAATCAGCTAACTTTAAGAAAAACTAAAACCCAATCGGAATCGGATGCGGTTTGGGAACGGATCAACCCTAAACACCTGGCGAGTTACGTGTTTAGGGTTGATTCCGAAAATGCATCCAGTTTCCTTTTGGGTTTCATTTCGTTTTGGCGGGAGTTTCATCTATGACCATTCGCGTTTCTTTTTACCAGTTGATAGTGACTGATTATGTGAAACGTTTTATCAGTTGGGTGAAAACACCCATTGCAGTGACCGTGCCCCTTTTTTTTTACCATTCACGTTATCGAGTCCCAAGTTGGTTACTTATGACATATTTTCCCTTGAAATTAGGGCGTGTTACAGATCTGTTCAACATAGCCTCCGCAACTAAATTAGAAGGGAAACATTTCTTGGAGCTGAAAAAAATAGTGCAGTTAGGTATTATTGAACGGACAAGTACTGCATGCACATTAAACAGTTTCGTAACATGCTTTTATATTAGAAAAGTGGTAGGGGCGTTTTTTAAAGATTTGTGCTCGTACTGGTCAGTTTGCACTCGTGTGCTGAGATAAAGTTTCTGGTGATGTCCCCGTCCAATCAGGGCTTAGCAGGACTAGGAGGGATGGGTGTGGAGGAAGGGTTCAAAGATTTCAGGTTTTATGTGTTGGAAATTGTTACGATATGAATAATGAGTAAAGGCATTCCTGTATGCTGCAGGAGCCGACTCTACAGAGTACGAAGTCGAGGAGTCAGAAGAGTCGAAGCGACGACAGCAACCGTCAGATCAAGACCGATGCAGGCAGATGCATTTGAACTGAAAAGAGCGGGACATGTTTGAAACGGGTTCCCGCGCCGCACGGTTAAACTTCGATGTAATAAGGGAATGTACCCCTTTGAGTACATGGCTAGTCTAGGTCGTTTCGCATTCCTTTGTATTTCCTATATAAACCCAATGTATGCATGCTTTTATCATCTTAGTCAATTACATTCACTCTGACCTGAGGTCAACACTTCCGCTGCAACAACTGAACCTGCGATCAACCTTGGGAGGATCCTTCGATAAGTCCTCTTTAGGATTGTAACATGGTATGAGAGCTACTCAGGGATTCTTAGCAACGTCACTTCCGTAAAATTCGCCGAACCTAGATTTGGCGAGCGGCACACGCTCCAAGACCAAGATGGCCGGAGGATCCGGAGTCCAAGCAAATCTGACGGCCGAAGAACAAACCAACCCGGCTGCGACAAATGAGGCGACAGCAACGATAAGCGCAGCTGCACTCGAGCAGTTGTTTTCGCGACTATCGAATATGGAGAAAGATCTCCAAGCACTGCGCAAAGGCGAGGAGGTACTGTGAAGATAAGCAGTAGAAGAAGGTGCCATAGCTAGGTAAGTCCTAGCTAGGCAAGCGAAGTTTAGGGAAAAGAGGAGGTTGCACTAGCAAGAATGAGGATACAAATAGCAAACCCTAGAAGGGTTGTACTCGCTATAGAGCACCCCACTACAGGCTAGAGCATAATATTCTGACACACCCCCATAGCCAAAGTGGGGTGTAATCAGCAGAGCAAGCAAAGCAGTACAAGCTCAGGGTGGATCACAATGTCACCACACATTCTGAGCACAAGTTCAAGAAGCAATAGTTTAAAGTTCACAATTATGAGCAAAGCTAGTGGTAGTCACAACGGGCAAGTGAGGAGGAGGAAAGAGACTATGAGAGGAGAGGAGGTAGTGGGCGGTGAGAAAAGTAGAACGAGAATGAATGAACTATGAATGAAGTGAGTACATATAGGAAACCCTAATTGGGTTGTACCCCCTATGGGATACCCCACTATAGCCTACACAACAGCATAAGCTATATATATGTTCTGACACACCCCCATAGGCAAAGTGGGGGAGAACAAGGGGTCACAAGACCAGTCAAGCAAAGCAGAGCAAGCTCAGGGTGGATCACAAAGTCACCACACAGTCCGAGCACAACGACAGGGCAACAGGGCCAGTTCACATGCAGGAGTACACATATATATATAGAGCTAGACAAGCAAGAGCAGGTATATATATGTGACAGTACAAGCAAGGTCAAGAAGAGAGCAAGTGAGGCAAGACAGGTACAAGACCCAGCTGGGTGCAGAAGCGCTGATGGTCACAAGGCGCAAGTGCCTTGGTGAACACATCAGCAGTGTTGGCCTCAGAGGCCACGTACGCAAGTCGCAACTGACCACGCTGCTGCAGCTCACGAGCAAGAAAGTAACGGAGAGCAATGTGCTTCGTTCTGTGCTCCAAGCGCTGCTCTCGACACAAGGCCAGCATGGCCTTGTTGTCTACGTACAACACTGGAGGAGAACGAGGCGGCTCTCCAAGGTCAGTCAGCAGGTAGGTAAGCCAGCGAAGCTCCTGTGCAGCCATGGCCCCGGCGTAGATCTCAGCCTCACAACTGGAGCTGAGAACAGAGGACGAGCGAGTAGCCCGCCACGAGACAGAGCCGGAACCAAGACTGAAGGTGTAACCCTGCGACGACCGCTGTGTAGCCTGGTCGTCTGCCCAAGAAGCGTCCGCGTGCCCAGTGAGGACCACTGGACTCCGCCCTCCAAGCACTAGCCCCATGCCCGACGTACTGCACAAGTAGCGCAACACCCTCTTCGCTGCAGCCATGTGCTCTGGTCGGTGTCTCCCAGGAGCAACATAGCGTGAAAGAATGCTAAGAGGGTATGCAAGGTCAGGTCGTGTGCAGGTCATCAGGTACATGAGGCAGCCAACAAGCTCTGGGTACGGGCCACTCGACTCTACGGACTCATCCGAAGGCAGAGCTGAGAGCGAGTGGCGAGTAGACAGAGGAGTGGCCTGAGGCGAGGAGTACGTGAAGCCGAAGCGCTGAAGGACCTGCTGCACCATGTGTGACTGAGTCAAGGTAATGGTGCGGCGTGCTCTGTCCCGAGTGATCTGCAAGCCAAGGTAGCTGCGCAGTTCACCCAGGTCTGTGCACGTGTGTCTCTTCTGCAGCTCGGACTTCACGTAGGCTAGTCCAGCAGTGTCAGCTGTGGCAAAGACCAAGTCGTCGACGTACACGAGGACGTAGAACGGCGGCAAAGAAGTGTCGGTGCGCAGAAACAACGACGGGTCAGCAGTAGAGGGAGCAAACCCAAGAGCCGCAAGCGTAGTCCTCAGTGTGTCGTGCCACTCACGCGGTGCCTGGCGGAGACCGTAGACTGGCCGTCGGAGGCTCCACTGGGTGCCAGGAGGAAAAGTCCCAGTGAAGCCAGGTGGACGGCGCAGCCAGATCTCCTCGTGCAGGCTACCCTGCAAGAAAGCAGTACTGAAGTCAAGAGAGTGGAGCTCGTAGTCGCGCTGAGCGGCTATGTGCAGCAGCACCCGAAGAGTGGTCATCTTCGGGGTGGGAGAGAAGGTCTGAAAGTAGTCAACTCCCTGCCGCTGACTGAAGCCACGAGCGACGTACCGCGCCTTGAAGACAGGTGGAGAGCCCGGCGGCCGCTTCACCCTGAAGATCCACATGCCACTGACGATGTTCGCCCCAGGAGGGGGAACCGCGTCAACGTAGGTGCCTGTGGACTTCCAGGACGCCATCTCTGCATCCATAGCTGCCTGCCACTGAGAGGAGTAGGGACCCTCTACGGCCTCCGCGTAAGAGCGCGGAGTCGGGATGTCTAGTGCATCCGGGTCTCCCTCAGGGGCAAGTAGTACGGACGCGAGATGAGGTGAAGCAGCAGCCAGACACCGGAACTCCTCCTGCCTGTCCTCAAGGACGTCCGTGCCAAGAGCACACTCACCCCCGACGGACGGAGGACAGACAGACGCAGACTCAGCAACAAGACCGGCAGCGTAGTCTAGACGACAGCGAGCAGCAAAGTCGACGAGCTCAGCAACAAGCGCAGACGCAGCAGTGGACTCAAAAGAGGGGTCAGTGACGACAGTAGCAAGGAGACGTGTGACAGCAGGACTGGCAGCACGAAGAGAGTCCGACTCCGGGTCAGGAAGAGCAGGAAGAGAGGACTCAGAAGGAGAAGGCAAAGGGGCACGCAGAGGAGCAGTGGACGGACGCAGAGACATCCGGTGCGTGCCAGGGACAGGAGGAGGACGCTGACGCGAACCACGACCACTAGTGCGAGCAGCACGGACAGGCGACGCAGGGCGAGACGCAGGCTCACGACGCTCAGTAAGACCTCCAGTAGGACCAGTGTAGGGAGAAGGAGCGGGCAGTGGGGAGGCCGGCTGTAACTGTAACTGTGACAGGACAGGCTGTGGACACTCTAAGGGAGGAGGAGGACCAGTAGAAGGCGGGAGACCAAGAACCTGCTGAAGGAGCGGAACGAAGTACGGTCTAGGCCGCGCGGCGACTCCAGACACAGCAGGGACAGCACCAGTACCCCCAGCGGCAGCACCAGCGCCAGCAGCACCTCCAGCTCCAGGACCTCCAGCAGCACCAGTAGCACCCCCAGCAGGACCGCCTCCAGGACCGACAGCAGTAGCCTCAGCGCCAACGCCCTCAGCAGCTCCAGCT